AGTCGGTTCAGAAAAGTAGAGCATTATTCCCATTTCATTCTTTTGTAATCATAGTAGTCACATTGAGAGGTTACAGTGCTTGAAAGTTGATGCTAGAGGATGATTATACAGGAACATACAAATTATGTCATCTTTATAGGCTAGACATGGACTTATATATTATTTACAATCATATCTGTAAGTTAAATTATACTGGAAGTTAGTAGTATTTGTTATTGAGGCAATACGTCTGACTGATCCCACACATTTTGTATATGTTTTGTAGAAAATCAGAAGTTGATATTGAATCTACTTTATTAAGTATAGTTTTCAGCACCAATGATTGCATTTTTTATGAGAAATATAGAAGATCATTACATGATTATTGTGTCAGGATACCCACTGTTTGTATCAGGGTTGTCGGTTCAGAAATAGGATGTTGAACCTCATTTCATTTCCGTAGTTGTAATGCCAAGTAAGCTTTTGATTCTTTGTCTGTTCCAACCCTTAGTAACAGTAATTTTAACAATAAGCAAATTTAGGGTTTACACATTGCCAACTAAACAGTGCATACTTTTTACAGAATTTTAGGTATGAGTGGGATAAATAAACAGTCCTCACAAAATACAAAAAATCTGAATAAGTAGTTAAAACCAACTCATTTAGATAGAAGGGGTTTGGTGGCCGAGTGATCTAATATATATGAATGGGATAAAATAAACAAATGACAATCCTCATAAAATACTAAAAACATAAATAAGATTTAAATGAGCTAAATCGCACTTATTTAGGTAAAGGGTGGAAGGTGGTTGATTGGTCTAATGCCTGTGCTTTAGATTGTAAGCTCCGTCATTGAGTCACCTTCAATTGCTACAGACCCCTCCCTATACAGGTGCATTACTGCAATATAGATATTCCTCTACTATATTTTAGGCACGAAATGATCTAGTTTGTGTTGACTGGATGTTAAACCCCATTTGTCACATATTAATGTGTACAAGCTTGGGATCAAAATCACAATAGAAAGAACAACTGAGGGACATTAACCCCGAAGTTTTTCTTTCTATTTACATAATGGACAGTCTGAGGCTATTATCAGACTTAAAACATAGCACCATATAGAGATACAAATAATGGATAGTTTTCTAAAACAACAAGCCACAAAATAATGGATATATTCTTAAAACAACATGCACATGCTATTGAATGCATGTGACAAAACACTCCAGTCATACAATGCAAGCATACACAGACAGTCTAAAATATTTGACATGGAGATGACGTGTTTATAACACAGTCAAAAACAAATATTGATAATGAGAATATATATGATAAGCATTTGGATACTGATTACATTTGGTAATGTACTCGATATGGAAGATAATAACCGTAAAAATTGTGATGTTCTTGATGTGGGGGATAATAGCCATCAAAGTTGTGATGGAGAAGGCTGCTCACGAAAATGATTTAGATATTGATAATATTCTTAGTACTGTGGTTAATATGGAGGGTACTAGCCATCCAAATTTTGATTTGAAATTTAATATTTACTCTAAGTGACAGGACACAGGATCAAAAGCACAAACCAATTCACGGAATTCGAACTCAACTGTCATTAAGGTGTAACGGTGATATATTTGAACGGTTTTTAAAATCAGATAAAAATTGTGACCTGTATAGGTTCCACAGGCTCAAAACATGTTTTTTGTTCAATCAGGGGCCATAATCCATGAAGTTACGGTCCGATATGCGTCAATATCGCAAGGAATCAAGATCTTTGGGTTATAAACACACATGTTCAGTTTCTTCAAAATGGGCTAAAAATTGTGACCTCTAGTGTGTACAATCAGGGGCCATAATCCATGAAGTTACGGTCCCATACAAGCCAATATCGAAATGGACAGTTTTATAAAGATTGTTTAAGAAAAGCGTACATTCTCTTATATACTGGTTAAAAACATGTTTTAATTAATGATCTAAAGCTCATGCATTAGACAACTCGACCACTCAGTGGATTTGTATGTCAACACCAACTTTAAAAGTGAACATAAAATTTTGAAAGAACACAGATTTCCATGACATAAAAAAAATCAACATATAAAATTCAAAGAAATCAACAATTTTATTTTTGACCCTGATCAAAGATTTTTGTTCTCTATGTTTTTATCTTGGTTTAATTTATGTCTGATAAACAATTAATGCATGTTTTTCAGAATGCTTTTTTATTTTGCTTAAATGATGTATTAAGAAAGTTAACACTTTAGCACTTGATACATGTAAATTTAGACTACCCTGGTTGCTTGAAGAAAATTAGAAACAAAGTGATATTTCATAATGGTAGATATCTGGATGACCCGAAACTGTCCAAAACTACTGCTCCTTAGCCTGTCTTAATTAGCCCAATATTGTAGGACTGCAATTAGTTCTTGGGTGTGCCACGGTTATTCACAGGACTTGAGCAGTCACAGGGACTAGTTAGGTGTGGGTTCGGGTGATGCAAGTGCTAATGCTGGCATCACACTGTCCCGAAATTGACATCTGATGGCCATACAAATATGGATTTTTATACGCCCACATTGAAATGTGAACGTATATTGCCGTCGCCCCCGTCCGTCCGTTTGTCGGTCAGTCCGTCGTTCCTTTCATCCATCGTTCACAAGAAATTGTGAACGCTCTAACTCCAAAAGTTATCATCAAATTGTTTTAAAATTGATATATGTTGTTTACATTAGTGAGATGAAGAATCCTATTTAATTTCAATAATTTCTGTTTATTATCTCTAGAGTTATGGTCCCTGTTTCACTTTGTTGAACCTTGTGAAGGCTCTAATGCCAAAAGTTAACATACGATCTTTGTGAAATTTATATGCAATATTTAAGTTAGTGAAACGAAGAAGCCTATTTAATTTCAACAATTTCTGTTTCTTTTGTCTTGAGTTATGGCCTTGTTTCACTTTATTGACCCTTGTGAACGCTCTTACTCCAAAAGTTATCATCTGATCTTTGTGAAATTTATACGCATGATTTAAATTAGTGAAACGAAAAGGCCTATTGAATTTCGGCAATTTACAATAATTACTTCTAGAGTTATTGCCCTTGTTTCACTTTGTTAAACCTTGTTAATGCTCGATTGATGAAAGTTATCATCCGATATGTATGAAATTTTTATGCATCATTTAAATTTGTGAAACAGGTCTATTGAGTTTCAGCAATTTCTGTCAATAATTTCTAGAGTTATGGCGATTGTGAACGTTTGAATGACAAAAGAGATCATGTGATCTGTATGAAATTTATATGCATTATTTAAATTAGTAAAACGAAAAAGCCTGTCAAATGTCAATAATTTCTGTAGATTACTTCCAGAGTTGAGACCCTTGTTTCAGTTTGTAGAACCTTGTAAACCCTCAAACGACAAAATTTATAATCTGATCTGTATGGAACTGTCTTGTAAAGGCCCCCAATTATCTACAAAGGAATAAATATGCGACAACCCTTGTCGACTGCTCGGATGATTTAGCTGCTGTGGGTGTATGTTTTGTTGTCTGACAACCTATCTTTGAATTTTGCGAGAAGATGGCCCCGAACCTGGTTAAAAAAAACAATTAACAGCCAAAGCAAGTGCAATGCCTACAGAATGTCACACGATGGCACCATTTGTGAGGGCATCGTATGACTATCTGTGAAGTTTTTCAGGCTCTGGCAGCAACTTCGTGAGCACTGCCCAAATCTTTGGCATGCCCAAAAATGACGAAAGACCTTGCAATGGTTCGTTTTTGTGGTGAAATAGTGTGTCCATCTTTCACTTCATAAGGCCATCGTGAAAGCTTCACGAGGTCGTGTTACATTTGTTAGTCAATCGGACAGATTCTTGTTTACTTTGTATTGTGTTTGTATGGAGAACAAGCAGTTGCCATGCAAGGTACACCCACATTTTATATAAAAAAAAGAAAATTTTTCGTACAATCAGGGGCCATACTCCAGCAAGTTACGGTTTGATATGTGCGGATATAGAAAGGCATCGTGATTGTTGGGTTATAAACATACATTTCAAGTTTCATTAAACCGGATAAAAATTGTAAACTCTAGAGGTTCCACAACCTTGGTATTACATACTTTTACACTAGTTGCGTACATGGAGCGTCCATTTTTTTCCGGCAGTTTCAGTCCGATTTTCACAAAATTCGAACTCATCTGACATTGTGGTGTAACAGTGATACATTTAAACGTTTTTTAAATCGGATGAAAATTTAGACCTCAAGAGCGACCACACGCTAAGAACACAATTTTTCGTGCAATCATGGGCCAAAATCCATGATACATGTCAATATCGAAAGGAAGCGAGATCTTTGGACGATAACCCAACATTTCAAGTTTCGTCAAAATCGGATAAAAATTGTGACCTGTAGAGTGTCGACAAACAAATTGGGGTTGGACGTCCGGGCTGACAACAATATATGTCCACATGAAAATGTGGGCATATCATAAAAATGCCCAATGGCAACGATCATCAGACGAAGTAAGGACGAAGATGACATGATTTGACAAGATACCCTCATGTGGCCTTAAGAAGGACAAAATGGACACATGAATTCAAAAGGAAAATGAAACTTTGCAAAACAAGATTTTGCCAGCGATCAAGAAGTTGCTGTCGGAGCTTGAGAAACTCCACAGGAGGTCTTATGATGGCTTAAGATGCTGTCACAAATTGCCCAATGTTTTTACGGTCAGTGCCGAATTTGAAGATTTAGTCTATTGTGTGTCCATCTGGTGTCAATTTCAGGACAGTGTGACGCCCGCTTAAAGGGTTCAAATTAAATTCTGTTGCATGAACTTGGTTATTTAATTTAGAAAAAAAATGCTGCATTTACAGAACATAATTACAGTACAAACTGCCTTTCTGATTCTGAATAAAAATTAGATCTTCTTTAAAATGGATATACTGGGATACCACCAATTGATGATGAGACCTTTGGGAGTATGAGTTAAAGCACAAATACCAATCAATTAATCTTCGTTTTGTAGATTTTCACGAAAAGGAGGACGAAAAAGTTTGCCTAATTATGTAGATCAAGAAGTCAATATAGTAACAGATTTTTTTGGTTTTTGTGGTGACACATCTCTGTCAAACAGTCCCCCACGCCCTGATATAACGACATCTCAGACCAAGGTTGTAATATTTTTTTAATGAATTTTTATGAAAGAATAAATTAAGTGTATTTTAATTAGAGAGCACTTTCAGTTTAATGTTTTAATTAGAGAGCACTTTGGGTTTAACGTTGTACTACATCACATAATCTGACTATTTTTGTTTTATTTTAAATTCTGTACTACATTAACACATTATGACTGTTTTGTTTTATATTTAATGTTGTACTACATCAACATCTGACTGTTTTTGTTCTATTTTTTATGTTGTACAGTGGACTCTGTCCCATCCGGCTTCTAAATACTACTGCATTCTGTGAAATCTGTCATTATTTTCATGTCCCGATTTATTTCCAAATTATTTCAACCAAAAAAGTTTTGAGTAATCCGTATTCTGAATATTACAAATTACAACATCAATCACATGATTTGCATTGAATTAACATTGTATAATCAAGCCTTCAATCCGTTGGTGTTCACCTACAAAAGATTGGCAAGCAATCACCAATCAATTATCAGTGAGGACAATATTGGTGTCAGTCATTATCATTTGGCCCCTAATTGTTCTGTTTTATGTTTGTTTCTCTCTCTCAAAATATAGGCTTTAGGAACTTCTGTACAGGGGGACCAATTCTGAAAGGACATATTTGGTTGGTGCTGGGGGGAAGTGAGGCAAAATACTTTTGGATGATGCTTCTGTAGACCATCAGTTTTATTATTCTGTTGACAAGATTCTACAGAATTAGCAATGGCCATACCTCTAGCTGCAATTAACTGAAACTGAAATTTCAAACTATAATCACATGATAGCAAGTATTTACAAATTTATAAAGGGCACTAATTCTGGCAGTAATTAGCATAAATTGTTGAAATTCAATAGGTGTCTTTGTGTTCCTATTTTGAATAATAATTTTTGTTGCTGAAGCATTCACAAGAAGTTTCAAAGCGCAAAAGGGCAATAATTCTGGAATTTATCAGAAATCAATGAAAATAAATATAATTTTTAAATGAAGTGGATGATAAAGGTAGTCTGTGGAGCATTCACAAGATTCTACAAAGTGACCAAAGGCATACCTCTGGTATAAGCAGCTTTACATCACATTGCCATCACAATCATCATATTATAAAGTTAATACAACACAAAAGCCATATTATACCTAGTATTAGTGTAGACTTTATACTAGACAATTAGATGAGATGGGATTTTTACCGTCTAACATGGCATGTGTAATCGTGGGTTTAATTTGAGAAGTCCAGATCAGTCCCAAAAAATACTGAAATATGAGAAACTACTAATGGACACACTGCCTACGACTAACACCCAACCCCACCACATAGGATAATAATCTTCCCATTTTTCTTGTTTCGCACTTGTATTAACATTTATTTCACTGTATTTTTTTGTTTGTTTTGTGGCACATTTTTCATTCAATGTCTGATAATATGTGTATAAATTGTCATAACTACCCCATGTATTAAAAAAGATCAACTAAATCTGATTTTACCACCATATATATATTTTCATCATTTTGGGGACAACTGTTCTTATTTTGGTCTAGTTTCAGCAACAATTTAAAATCTTTTGCCATGCCAGAGATGTTGAATTCAACAAGATCTAACTCCATTCCAATCATGGATGATTATAACTTCATGCCTCCTCAAACAGCCATGCCTCTTTCTTTGTCAAAGGTTTGATTTTCTCTTCTTTAAACATTAATAAAAAAATCTGACATCAATTGTACTCTTATCAACTTATTACATCTCTTGATCATCTGATTTCAAGGAGCCTGTGTGGCTCAGCGATTAAGGCGATCGCTCACTAATAAGTAAGTCTCAGGTTCCCTCCTATTGTTGGCCAAGAAAGTCCCATTAGAATATTTCATCTGTGGTTTCCCCTAGTCAGTGGTGCAGGACTGAGCGTCTGAAAAGGAACAGCGCCTAATCATCAGGATGGGATAAAAAAATTGAGGTACATCGTACACATTGGTGTGCATGTAAAATAACCCTTGACACAAATCTCAATAAGAACAGGCCCTTTCCCAGATGGTGCAAAAAAAGTAGGACGTTAAACCGCATTTCATTTTATCTGATTTAATTGCGCTGATATCGATTACCATCAACTAGGGCTGTACGATATTGCAAAAAGGGACGATATCGATATTGGCATTTTTTTCAACGATATAGTTAAATATCGCGTTATTTAATAATAATGTCACTTTGCTATTAAATAAATTAAATATATATGCATTAAAGCTGACTAGTGTGAGTAAGAATTGTGGGTAATAATTGCTTTATTCATACACTTTAAACTTTGCTTTTTTTATAATATAGATTTATTAAAATGAACAAAACAACATCCTTTTTGGATAAAAATTAAATACAACCGCTGATGTTTAAAAAGCGTCTGCTTGTGACCTTGTGTAAGAAAATTCTCAAATATCACGTTCAGCGGAAGTAAGTAGATGCGGTCTTCAAGTCTTGTATTGTAACTTCAAACAGTTTAACAAATACTAAATGATCTGGACTATCTTCCATTCAAGCATTTGATTGGCCGTGGTATTCCTGGCCTAACAGGGACAGTAATCTATTTATAGATCGTTTTATTCTTGCTTTCAGAAATTAATTTTCGTAGAGTTTTCTAAAAAGATTTGTTTTTTAAAAATATGACAACCTATTTTAGCCTGGTAATTAGCCGCGGTAGTGGGAAATTTCAGGCGTTTAGTAGGTCAAAGCTTTACATGTAGTAACAACTGACAATTTATTGTCGACTAAAAACAAAGTAAAAGTAACGTATACATACACGATGCAGTGAAAAACGGCTGCGGACACTGCGCAAGTGTTTTCGACATTTAACGATTCTCAGAACATTAGTTTAATTATAGTTTATTGCAGTCGGCTAATTTCCACTCCTGTATAGTGTATTTATTATCTATTTTTATGATAATTTTTTTCGATATTTGAAGTTTTTTGCGATATTCGATAAACCTTTATATCGACGATTTTTGGCCACATGATATCGTAGTTGGGTCTGAAAATACCATATCGCGATAAATGACTATATCGAGAATATCGTACAGCCCGACCATCAACTCATTCTCAATACAGTTCTATACATCTCAGTGATCAGTAACTTTATTTATGCCTATTTTGGAGACTCTGCAGTTAAAGTTTAAGGTACTTATTAATGTTCATTCATGTATTCAATTTCTGTGTAGAAACTGAGGATTAATAGTCTTTATCTTGGGAGACACAGTGACTCAATGAGTCAGTCCCAGCTTGCACAATCGAAGGTCCGATCCTGGTGTTCTCAGAGAAAGTTCCTCAGGATTTTTCACCGTGGTTTCCCCTTGTCAACGGTTCAGCATATATGATTAATATAGCATTTGAGATTGATATAGACTTCACAACATATAAGATTATTATAGACTTTACAATATATATGATAAATATAGACTTTACAGCATATAGGATTAATATGAACTTTCACGCATATAGGATTAATATGAACTTATAGGATTAATATAGACTTGACAACATACATAATTAATATAGACTTTACAGCATATAGGATTGATATGAATAGGATTAATGTAGACTTTTCATCATATTAAGTTAGATTTACAGCATGTAAGATTGATATAGGTTTAATATAGGATTATTATAGGATTGATATAGACTTTACAGCATAATATATGTGATAAATATACTCTTTACAGCATTTAAATGTATAAGATAAACCTAGTGCAGTAATATTCTCATGTTATAATGAAAAGTAATAATATCGTTTATAACTAAAAGATATTGTTTGTTGTGTAAATGTATTTACATGATGTGTTCTGTAAGATGTAATGATGATTGTTTAAGTTTGGGTATATCTGAAGAAGACATGGATATTTCTACGGCAAAGGCTTGATTTTCTTTGCTATGCCTTCTGGATAATAACAAAATCTCTTCAGTTATTTTATCTACATCGAAGAGGCCTTGAAGGCCAGACGAAAACATTCGGTGACGAATCAGCTACTCTTGAGGAATTCCAGTCTGGTCACCTGTTCCCTGTATCTCTCTATAACTCCGAGACAGGCATTCGACCTGTCATCTTAAAGGACGAAGGGTCTCGAGGCAGCTACCTTGACACACTCCCATTGAGAGTAATGATTTGTTAGGAACTGATATTATTCAAACTGTATCATCATCATCACGTCGTAGACCTATTTTTTATGGCGTCATTACCAACATCTCATTCTATTGTATAACTTTGTCTTGGTAGTTCTATTCATGTCAGTCATCAGACGTTTGTGTAATCATTTGAGCATGGTTATGACATTATATTGAAAGAAAAGCATGGAAGATTTGGTGGACAATTGGAACAAATTCTTTCATTTTATGCCTCGATTCAGTATTCTAACATTGAGATGACATAGCTGATCATGACAATTACACTAGAATAATACTATTTTTAGGAAACGCTCCCTTTTTTTCTCCATGGTTTTGGGTTTGTTTTTATTTTGAGTAAAGCCTGCATGCAAGCAGTCATGGGACTGTACAGCACAGTTAACATTACATTATATTCAATATTAATATGTTCTTACGATCAAATTATAACATGCTTTGCAACACATCACCTCCTATCTTGGATTAAGCTTTATAACACAATCTGAAACTGTATTGGCTCACTCAGTATGGTACTGCTTCACTAACTAAGTGGTCTTTCTCTGGTTTACCCTTATCAGATGTCTCTGTTTTGCGATACCTTGGACAGTTAATGCTGCACTGTCTGTTAGAAGCTTGCAAAATAGCAACACTTAAAGCAGTAATATAAATGAAGATTTATTTTTAACTACCGCTTTAATAATATTCTAACTTAAAGATACAATCTAATCTAACTAAACAAATTGTGTATACATCTACATCATTGTGTGTTGTTTTTTGTTTATTTGGTGCAGTATCGATAGAAGATCGAAAGAAGCGCTGACATGTGCAACTATACCTGTCTCTTTTTTTAAATACGATGATGATGATGAT